ATTGAATAATGATGACTGATCTGATGTGGTGGAAATAAAAGTTAATGGGGTGCAAGGAAGTTTAATCCATCAGGATGGATAATTATGGAAGAATGGTGACTTTGGAGGGGCATTACTACCTCAGAAACAGAGAGTACATTTTTTTTTTTTAGAAAATCATCATAGCTAGGTATGTGCATTAAGTTGAATGATGGTATTGCAATACTGCAGAAAAGTAGAATAAAATGACTTATGGACTGTGTTTAAATCAGAGAAAACAGGCCAAGGTATTCATGAACATCAATAAAGCTTTATAACAGTACAATTCATTACCATTGTTTGGATTAATACTGTAGTAATTACACACTTTGTACATTATGAAAATAAGTCATAAATAGTGTAAAAATAATTTTGAAGATCAACTTCTCACAAACTAGGAACCCTGTAAACAAGTTACAAAAGCAAATAAAGACAAATGAGAAACTGAACATAATGCAATTATCTTCAAACTGCAAATTGAAAACCACACGCTTCTTTTGATTCAGCAATGTCAGCAGGAGAAATTAAAATGAAACTGAAATAAGGAATCAAACAGGGAGAATTCAATCTTTCAATTATTTACACTGCTGAGAAAAACAGGTTTGTGCCATATTTACAGTGACAACACACAACACATTCTTAGAATAATCAATTACATGAGACTGGCCAACAAAACATTAAGAAAAATATGCAGTGTAATGCTTGCCAAAATATGTTTTCTGCATTTTCCTCTTATTTTGTATTCATGTGATTTTTTTGGCAATATAAAAATAGCTGCACATAGAGATGAACTTTAAAATGTAAAAAATACAAATAAAAATATAATATTTTCTAAAGGAAAATCAGATACATACACCTTTTAAAAATGCTAAGTTGCATGAAACATTTACAACAGTATAAAGAACATTCACATAAATGTCAATAATATGTAAGACATTCTTTTGTGAATCCAATTTATTAATGTTTCTGAGATATGGAGAATATCAACCGCATTTTGAGAAATGATGGTAATTTATGAAGTTATCCACAAACCATAACTGGTCAGGTTGAAAAAGTCTTCCTATTCCCAAAAGGACAGTTCTGTCAAGAAGCAGCACAGGAAATCTTATGCATTTAAATACATTAAAAAAATCAGGCATGCCATTAAAACGTTTCAGTATTGTATTAATGAAAATTAAACCCACTAAAATTTAAGTTGGAAGGGTATCTCTGCTATGGCATATAGTAAATCTAGTCATTGTGAAGTTATTCAACAAAAGTAAAAGAACAGACTGAAGGCCAACAAAATCATCATTGGTCAATCATGTTAATTCCATTAGGAATGAATAATTTTAACAGCCAGAATCAAACACAGGTCATTGTTCTTAATTGTTACTTATGAGAATATATGAATACGTTGCTCTGGTCTTGACTTTCTAGAGATAGCAGGGACTTTGTTTTTTGTTTTGGTATAACTTGAAAAAGTTCACTTTTGGTACTGTTAATTATTGATATTACTTGATTATCAAGAAATAGGAAAAATGCCAATATTGGCATGTTTCTATAATGACAATATCACTCACCATGCAAACATAAATGACTTCTGAGAAAATCATACATAGGGCCAAAAACAGAAAGGAAAAGATGAAAAATGGTATTAACATTTTATGCTACAATAGTAACATTGAAAAAAATTTAAACCTTGGAAAATTAAGCGCATTTTCCAAGTGATAAAAATATAAGCTACCAAAGACAACTTTTCCATAGCTACTGACATGCTGATCTGACCATTTTCCAAACTAGGAAAGGACATGTAGGATGAACTACTAGATGTATAAGTTCTTGCTGTCCCTTTAGAACATCATGTACAGGAAGTAAATTCAAGAACAGACATTTTTTGGGAGATGGAAATTCAAGATATCCTCATGTTTTATATAAAATCAAATAAAAAAGAAAAACTCTCCAAGATTGCTTTTCATAATGAAAATAAAAACTAGAAGAAAAATTTAGGCATATTTGTGTGTCAGGTATGCTATGAATGTATGCAGACATATCTAATTCTGGTTTTGCCACACTTAATCAAATTATGTCAGTTAAAAGATGAGAATGAAAGTTGATGAAAGGCATACAGCATATGACAAGAACATGTAAAAAGAGGATCCATGATCCAAGTAAGGAAACATCATCTGCAGGTTATACTGTTTTGTTTTACATTTAAAAAGACTAGTCATTGAACCATAATTACAACAAATTCATAAACATGAAAAAATAAAATCACACACTAACAGTTTAGGAATGCTATTAAACTGAGAAATGAAATCCATAGTAGAGTTGCACTGTCCATAAAGAAAAATAAAAGAAATACATCAGCACCAACATGAATGAAAAACAATTTTAAAGCTAAAACACATACCAATTTGGTATCCTTAAAAAATGCTTATCAGAAATAGAACCTGATTTTGACTTATTTCCATTGTGTCTTTCATGTGTTTTTCCTCAATCCTCTATTTAATAATATAAATTAAAAAGGAAGAAATCTTTAAGAAAAATATGTATCTGCCAACACATGTATCAGCAAACATAATTTATTAGTTCATTTGGCAATTATTTGATGACAAAATGGATGGTTGAAAATGTTTTAGGAACCCAAAATTTAAGATTATCCATAGTGGTTAAGACCTAGTAATTCCACTAAACAAAGAGGAGTGATAGCATCCCTTTGTTTGTCCAAAGAAAATAAATGTAATGGAAGTTAATAATTTTATTCCTTAATCATGGAATAAAAGTCAATGCTGTTAAATCAGAGCAAAAACCCGATATACACATAGGACAGAACAATATTCTTAAAGGGCTGTATTTAAAAAAATTTTGTACATAAAATGATTATCTTTTGAGGTATTCTCTTTAGAAGCTGTGCAAGTTTTAAATAGTGATCCATCTTGATACCTGTATATACTAAAAGAGTAAGAAAGATACATAGAATGAAATATAGCCACTAGATTTTTCTCAAGACAGTACTGTTTGTTTTCCTGAAAATACTGTAGTTCTACCTGCTTTAGTTCATTTTTCCAATTTATTTAAGACAAGTCGTTTCAGACATTAAACGATAATACCTCATCCTAACCACGTCATAGAAGAGATCATTAGAAAAATGGCCTCTATTGTTTTAAAAATGCCAAATTGGCTTCAGAGCTCGGAATGTTACTAGAAATGTGACCAATTAGATGGGTGTAATAGTTTGAACATCTTTCCAATATTGAAAACTTAATGGAAATAAAAAGAAGGCAATGTGTATAATTGAGCATTTGGTTATATAAGATGAAAGAGATCATAAGGACCTTAGGATCCTTGTCTTATAATCATATCTTAATTACTGTCAGCCCAAGTCAATGATGAATTAGTTCCCCCTCTGGTGGTAACAACCTGTGCATGAAACTAGAAAATTTCCCACAAAATGGTGTTGAGTCCAGAGAAAAATTATATTGCCCCATGAGCAAAAAGTGACTACTCCTCATTGATGATGTTTCTCCTAATGGAACTCTTCCATGTAGAATAAGCCATTTCAAAACATGCTACCAACACTTTAGTGTGCAAAGAAATGCTCAGTCTAATACAGCTAGATAACTTTTGAGCAAGGAGATGAAAAAAATACTTTCTTAATGGCAACTATATGGCAACTATATTTCACAGCTTTCTGAGATCTCAGATTTGGTCTGTGCATAAGACAAACATTTAGAAATGTAAAAAAAGATAAAGAAATCTAAATATAGACAAAACTTATATCTAAGTAGAACTACAAAAAATAGAAATGAGTTAATACTATCAAATGTGACCAAATCTTGACTTTATCTTAAGTGATAATCACTATGTATGTTATATTCACCATATGAAAAAATAGTCAAAAAGTACTGAAAAGAATTTCTTAACTTTGATACTTTACAATGACTGAAGTGAAATTGGAGCTTCTTTTACGTTCTCTTTAATTATTCATAACAAGAAAGAAAGTTAGTGAAATGTCGTCTTGATTATTGGTTTCATTATTAGAATTTGAAGACCTTTCTTTAAAAAATGTTCAAACAAATATGGCAAAAGAGTTTCAGCTTAGTATTCCTTGGAATAAAAAAAGAAAGAAAAGAAAAAGTATTTAAAAGAGTTGGAAACATGTTCTCTTTCTAGAACTTTGCAGAAAATGTTTGAAATGGGTTCGATTTTGGAGAGAATGGAGGCTCTCACATCAGCTTCGGTAGAGACTATGGAGTGAGCCCCCTTCAGGACGTGTGATTTCTTCAGCAACCTGAGCTTTGTCGGGAGGTACACACCTTTTCCTAAGAAACAGGGGCTGCCGTTCCAAGAATCTTCTACTCCAAAGAAGAGCTGTATGTCTCTGTCGTTCTCCAAAAGCACCCATACTAACACCTGCTTGAATTCAGTTTATTAGAAGAAAAAGTCTGCTTTCTGGGTGCCTGCATTTCTACACCTCTTTCCTACTTGGTCACAGGAGAGACAGCGCAGGATACTGAACCGGTCCTCTTTCCTGGTCTTCACTGCCAAGGGCAGCCCAAGGAAAACCGGCGGCACAACCAGCTCAACCCCTGGATATTTCAACCAAGGTGGCCGCGTGAGCCCACAATACTGGAAGCTGTAGATCTGCAGTTGGGACTGCAGCTCCCTCAAAATACAAGACCACTTGTGTGTGTCCTCTCCACCACTTTATCTCTTTTTGGCAATAAGCCATGGTGTAACCCCCTTGAGATGACAAAAGAAATAAAAGCTCAGATGTGATTGAAGGACTCAAGAGGCGTGCTAGCATCTGAAGGTGCACAACAGCAGGCAGGTTTGGCAGGATCATGCTTTTTTAGTCAGTTTCAACGGGTGGTGTGAACTCAGCGCTAACAGTGAAGGTGAGTAGGGATGTGACAATAAATGTTAACATTGGTCAGTATGGGACATTTTCATAGTTTTGAGTCCATATTTGGTCACAATTTTATGTAAACTATTTCATGGCCCCTTTTGTCCATGCAATTGGCAAGCCCAAAGTAAGAAAATAGCAAGAACAATCATTCTCTATCACTGATATGTCCATATAAATAGGCATCTTTACATAAGATAAAGAGATACTGATCTATATTTTTCTGCAGGCTTCTCACTAGTTTCACATGTTGCCCAATTTTAGATGTAAGCAAAGAAAAGATGGACATGTGTACTACTGCAAACAGGAAGAAGCAGCTATATGTAAACATATCTCAGACTTGTAAAATCTGCAATTCGATTTTCAACTATAAATATAAAGAGTGGACCACTATATACACAACTTCATGCTCGGAAGGTTAGTTTCATCACTGCAGAAAAACAAACAACAAAAAAGACAAATATATAGAATTAGTGGTCTAGGATAAAAATTCCAAATTAACATTTATTTTAAGAAAACGGGTAGAACCCTGAATAGAGTTGTTGTTTGTCAATCAATGAGCCAATCAATATGGGTCTTACATATTACTTTTCTAAAACTCCAGTGTCATCAAAATTTCTATCCTAGATTCAACCCACATTTTCCTTTTGCCGCAGATAAGTTTCTGGTAAGTGTTTGTTTCAGTAACTATTCTGGGAAAGCAGAAAATTAGGATTTTTAGCATATATGTGCCATAGTTAAAATACACATGTCCTATTTACAAATTACATAGTCTTCTCTAAGCATTAAACCACACTGTGGAAAAAGCTGAGGATTCTGACCTCAGTGGCACTACTTACTTCATCAACACCTGACTCCTCCTGTTTCCTCTTTCCTTTTGTTAGTCTTGCCCTGCTGTGGATCATGGGCAAGGTAAACCAGCCTGCTGGCGGGTCCTTAAGCTGTATTACAGGTTCCACTGTGATCTAAGGTACCATAAATCTCTGGTTTCTCATTCTGAACAGCCATAATTTTAAGATTTTCCTATAACTAAAGTTAAGTCTGAGAGAACTGAGGGCCAATCATCTTTGAAGTATAAACTTATACAGCAGATCTTGGAGATGGTGACTTACTCAAAAATAAAAATCAATGAGAAAAGTAAAATGTCCAGTTCATTAATTAAAAAAATTTGTTTGTTTTTTTTTCCCCAAGAAAAATAGATCCTACATTAGATGTGCCTAGGAGAGGCTGGGAACTTTGTGATTTTTAGAGATGGAGTTCACTCCATGTTTATGCATGTCGTGTCCATGCCAGAGAATATGGCCAGTGTGGCTCAGAGGTTGAGCATCAATCCATGAACCAGGAGGTCAGGGTTCGATTCCCAGTCAGGGCACATGCCCAGGTTGCATGCTCCATCCCAAGTAGGGGGAGTGCAGGAGGCATCAATGATTCTCATCACTGATGTTTCTATCTCTCTCTCTCTCTCCCTCTCCCTTCCTCTGTGAAATCAATAAAAGCATTTTTAAAAATCTGTCACTTGTTTTAGGAAGGTTCTGCTAAAAACTTTCTAACTTTACCTGGAAAAATAAGGTTTAGTAAGACATTAAAAAATACGAAAGCTATAAGTGTTTTTCTGATTAAATAGTTTTCATCTCCAGATGGGAATGGATACAACTTTAATGGTTTGTAAGTATTTTCTTAACCATAAATGATGCCATTTACTTACTATATGAATTACACTGTGAACTGGTACATCATTATTCTTCAAAATTTAGAAAACTGAACTATATCTAAAAGGAAAAGTAATTTAAACAAAGATCAAATCATTTTTGCATAAAAAATTATTAAAGAGCAGCATAACCAAAGGGACTTGTTCATTAATCATAGCGATTTACATGGTACCTCAATCTGAATTTTCAAACATTTACCACTATGCTCCGGAGGCTAATAAACAATAATGTTTTAAAGGGGGATCCACATAAAACAGGACTACATAAGGAATCTACTGGACATCTTTTAAAAATATTTAAAAAATAATTTGATTTGACTAAGTGTATTTCAGATAGCTAAATTGACCACATAAGAGATTTCGAACATTCCATTTTTTCTAACTGTTTTACTCTTTGGGGAGGAGGGTGTTGAGAGAGGTTGATCCCAATGGTTTGTTTTTGTGTGTGCTGGGAGTGTGGTAAGCAATACTGAGTTTTATCATTGAATTATTATTTTTTATATGATAAGATGTGAGATTTAAGAAATCCTTGATCTTATGTAGATCATGGTATCTATTCTGTGGAAAAATGAGTACTTAACAGGGAAATATCTGACTTTCTGATGCCAGACATATTACTATTAGGACTGGCCTTTTTATGCACTAAAAGATGATGAGTGCTTTGTTTGTTGCCATTGTTATGCCCTCACAGAAAGGAAGTGATTTAGAAGCAGCTGAAAACTATATGAGTCAAGTTCTGAGTAGTATTAGAAGGTTGGTAAAATAAGCCTTTCACATCTACCTCTATGTCAGTTGTGCCAATGTATTAAAAAACCATTATAATATTAGATTACAGGTCAAAGGTCAAAGAGCACATGGTAATCCCAGCTCAGGATGTATTAAACATTCTGAGAACAGGGGCTATGAGGGTGAAAGGATACTTTTCTCAGGTGAAGAAGAATACGATGATAGACCCATCTTCCTAAGAACCACTTGACCTCAGGTATGATTGAGATGATTATCTGAGAGGCTGAAAGTGGAGTTTGGGAAGCTACTAAATAAATGACGCTGCTGAGAAAGAAGGAAGGTGTTTCTTTCCCTAGTCAAGTGGGGTGAGAGTGGTCAAGCAAGAGAGTAAGTTACACAGGATCTCACCAACACAGTTGGTGAGCTAAGACGAAACCAGGAGAGTTAAGTTTCTCTTCATCTTTCTACAATCCTACATAGTTTTGTATAACTTTGCCGGTGAAAAAGTGCCTGTCAAAAATAACTGAACAAACCACAAGGTTTTAGAGAAAAAACCCCAAAATGATCAAAGCAGCATGGATGCTTCCGTCTGGCTTATTTTTACATCAGTGGAGTTCCTTCATCCTTCAGTAGCATACATGCACAGTCCTTTACAGGTTCACACCATTATTGTGTAAAGGTTTGGTACTCCCTCAGCACAGCAGGCACACAGCTTTTCCCTGCTTAAAGTTAGGCCATTACTTCCCATCGTCTGCTTTTTGTTCTGTTACTTACTAGCTCTGTGCCTTGGAAGTTACTTAACCTCTCTGAATTTCAGCTTCCCCATCGGAACCATTGAGGATAACACCCTAGGGCAGTGATGGAGAACCTTTTGAGCTCGGTGTGTCAGCATTTTGAAAAACCCTAACTTAACTCTGGTGCCGTGTCACATATAGAAATTTTTTGATATTTGCAACCATAGTAAAACAAAGACTTATATTTTTGATATTTATTTTATATATTTAAATGCCACTTAACAAAGAAAAATCAACCAAAAAAATGAGTTCGCGTGTCACCTCTGACACACATGTCATAGGTTCGCCATCACTGCCCTAGGGGGCTATTGTGACAATTAAATAAAATGATACCCCTTATGTAAAAGGGCTTGTCACATAGAAGGCTCTGTGTTAGGATAAGTTCCTTTTCCTACACAATGGCTATAGGTAGCTATAGGAAGAGGCTAGGATAAACTATTACAAGGACACCAACTTAAATATAACCAGAGTCTCCTAAATAACTAAAGACATCACTGAAGAAAAAAGATCATGCTTACATTTTCTGCTTTCTCAGCTTAGTGACTAATATTGACAGGGTTCTACCATGTATTTGCATGTTTACTTAAGTAACTGAGTATACATAGAAAAACAATCACAGTCAAGAGTAGTTTTAACATTAGGAGTACAAGGAGGTCACCGAGAGACAAGCAAACCATTACGGAGATGCACGGCCTGCCCCTTTCCATCCAAAGAAAGGACTAGATAGGGAAGGCCCCAAATTACAACGTTTGTTAGGAACTGTTTTCACTCCTCAGTTCAGGAAGAAATCAGCAGTAAACCTAATAATGGAAAGATCTTCTGAAGGTGCTATCTTTTTCTTTTTAATAGCCAAACAACTTTTAGCAATGTCTCATTCAAAAGGTCTGCTCTAAATGGAAAAGGCTAGGCCAGGTGGAGAGAAAGGGAGAGTGCTTCTTTTAGAAATAATTCCATAAAGCCTACCTTTTGCCAACAGCCAGGCATGGGTAATCCATCTGGGCCCTGTTTTCAAGAGAAGAATAAGAATTCCTTAGGCTCCACGAAAGTGATCATACTTCATAATTCACATGCTCAGAGGCTTACAAGATGGATTTCTACTCATTAGTAGCTTTAGTCATAGGCATATTTTTCTAATTATTAACAATTAACTCCAAATATAATACCAAATGCTTTTTTTAGGGAAAGTACACATTTTGAAAATACACAAAGTATAAAAAATACGCCTAATTTTGAAAAAGCAATTTATAAAGCATAGTGGTCTACTCAGTTCTACCTTGGGATAACAAATCTGTACTATTCATCCTAATTTCACTTACATATATTTCACAATTATCTTTAAGTAAACTGAAATAACTTCACTTCCTGGTCACAATGGTATATGGTTGAATGCATGATAATGATGAATAATCAATGATGAACCATTTCTATCTGAAGTTTATAGTTCTTCAGAGGCTATTTTTCACTTTTCTATATTGAAAGCAGATATATTGGAATATATTTAATCAACCAAATTAAAACATAGGCAGCTTATCTATATCTTTACAGTAAAATGTTATTCATCAATTTTTCTATTAAAGTTCTTCAGAAGCCGGTTAACAAATTCTGAATAAACCTGGGATTCCTAAAATCTGCAGAATTTATTTTTATTTAAAGTGTGAACACTCTTCAGATACAAATGGCATAAATAAAGCAGGGAGAGTTGGGGTGTGATGAGGCATGCTTGTGTTTCCACCTAACAAAATGATTGTAAACTATTATCTATTATCATTACCAAGCAAACAAAATAAAAGACTGGGTACTTCACATTAATATTTTCTAATTGTAATTATTAACTGAATACAATTTTTTTTCTATAAACACAATCTCTTAAAAGGCTTGAGAAACAAAGTTATCTTTATAGAAACATGCTTAGCATTAAAAAACAATATAAGAACATGCAGACCAAATATAACCATCAACACTACCATAAAATGTTTTCCTTTACACCTCAGAAAATATGAATATACTTTTTAAAACAATGTAAAAAACCCGCTTTGAAATAGCTTTGTAAGATATTTGGGAAAAATTCGGTAATGCCAGATTGGTACAAGGAGAAGGATCACCCAGCAGAATTTTAGATTTTAGTAAAAGGAGGATTTTGGGTTCATGCCAATGGAGATAAGGGAGTTCTGTCTACTTTAGGAAAGTGAGTTTCAAAAGGAGAGACCATTAAATCAAAAGGTTATGTGACAAAGAGGCGAGTTTGGGCTGTAGACTGTTATCTTTAGAAGCTTGGTTTACTTCCCTACAGTCTCTTAACAGCATTCCCTAGAAATGGCTGCTCCTGGCTGCAGAGGCTTCACTCTGTAGGCTTGGCCTTACAGCCGGACAGAAATTTAGTGGAAGAGGCAAACATGCCTTTATTTCCTTTAGAGGAAAAGAAAAAAAAAGTTCAATTTAGGGGTAAAACCCAAAGTTATGGGCTAGCTGTGCCTTTACTAGTACATAGAAGCCTTTCATGTAATGTTAACGTAATCTTTAACTATTTATTGAATAAATTAACATCCCCCGGAAGGCAGACCCGGCTCATGTCAGTTGTGAGAATGTTAGGAGATTAGTTTCCAGTCATAGGTAGACATGCATGCTAGCTCTCTTCACTCTGCAGAGTTGTGGAAGGAGCCGTTCATGCACATGCATGTAGTGTGTTTATCATGTAAAGCTTGGTCCAGAAGCACCACTTTACACCCATAGAGATGAATATGTAATAAACAAAGGAACTGCATGCAGGGTAGTAGGAAAGAGAAATACTGTACCAATTGGCAAGGGGCATCCAGCCCATCCAGGCCAGGCTGGCCTGGCTCCCCTTTTTCCCCCTTAATGCCACGGAATCCCTGTTTGTAAAGATTAACTCATAACGTTACTAACAAGAAATCACTTATGCACAAATTCTGCTAAAGAAATAACCACAATAAGAAGAGCTGGGAGAGGAGCAACTCTGAAGTGAAAAGTAACATACGGTGAAGTTGGACAAAACTCCACGTATCATGAGGGCTTGACTGGGAGCTGGGACCTCTGTTGAGAAGTACAGAACCATGCTGGTTCCTCTTTGGATCCTCCATTCGTGTTGGATCAACACTTGAGTGTTAAGAAACCAGGCAGAGCTGGTGGCCAGACACAAGGTGTGGAACATGACGGGATTACCCAGATGGATCATTCTAGTACCTTGTCCATGTTTAATGACCCCAGTCAGCACCCCAGCTTTTATGGGTCCCTCCAGCTTGCTCTTCTCCCAGCTTATCCCCTCACACATGACATCCGGAGTCAGAGTTTCATGAGTCAGACATACCAACGGGCAAGGTGCATCTAATCCAGGGGCACCCTGTTCTCCTTTCTCCCCTTTAGGCCCCTTTTTGCCTTTCTTTCCCTTTTCCCCCTGTAGATACAAGGGTTTAAATAAAAGACAGGTTTTATTGGAGGGGGGGTAAATAATGGTGATTCAAAAGATGATTTAGCCAATAAAAGTCTGGAAGGGCATTTACCATTGTTTTCTGGTTTAGGTAAGGCATGATATTATAAAAATAACAGAGTGACAATGGATTCTGGGTAACGATATGTGGCATTTTATTTACGATACTCAATAATTTGATAGAAGGAGACCAAAGGCCAATCCATCACGAAGGGGGATCAGTGCTGACACAGAGCCCGGTGCAGTGGTCCTTTTGAAGGAGGTGTTTCTGCCAGGATCTGGGGTATGTGTGTGTTAGTGTGTGTGTGTGTGTGTGTGTGTGTGTGTGTGTGTGTGTGTGTGTGTGATACCAACTGTACTGTGAAGCCAGCCAGTGCAGGTGAGGTTCAGAGGAATAATGGATACTTCGAACAATTTTCTATGCCTGTCAACTTGTTCCCCGCCCCCCGAATCCTGTAATAGGTGAAAGCTACATTGAGCCAGATTAAAGAATATTAACAGCGTCTACCTTTTTGAAATAGAAACAATTTTATGACATTATTTTTTGTAGCTCTCGTTAAAAAATATTCAATGTATCAAAATATACTTCTATTTATTTTAATATTTGTTTTCAGGTAACTAAGAGCAAATAATTCCCTTATTAAGTCAGATAAATAAAGTTAAAAAGTGCTAATACTTCTTAGCAATACCAATGGGAGAAACGGACTTATTTAAAAACCCAGGGATCTTCTTTAATTCACTCTTATTAATCTCATGCCAGGTGCTCACAATGGTAAATGGGTTTCCAGCTTACTTGCAATTAAAAAAAAATTCTGTTCAGGAGAGGAAAAGCAGTTTGGACTCAGCTGAGCTAACACTAAAAACGAGGTAGGCAGGATAATAACATAGTGGGGAGGTAGCCATGGAAATTAGTATTTAGGGATCGAGGTAAAGGTTGTGGAAATCTGCGTGGATCAGAGGGATGGAGGAATTTAGGAAAGGAGGCAAAAGGAGGAGAAGGAAGGAATGCACCTCAGCTGTTTTACATTAACATAAATTCTGCATATTTATAGACAAGAAGTTGGTGAGTACAAAATACAATACATACTTGAATTAGCGTATTCATTCTGCAATCAGGATGGCAGTTATGATAAAATGGAATAATTTCAGAAGCAAAACAACATGAACAGTCAAAGGTAAAAAGACATACACATAGCAGAAATATGAGATATGCATTCAAATGAACGTATTCATTCTGACTGCGTGCGCGAAAGCTCCTCATTTCTGTCCTGTGTGCCAAAAAGGTTGCATCAGAAGGCTTAGAATCAAGAACACCCGGGTTGCTTTAACACTCGGGAAAGAGAAATTCTGTATGGTTTAGTTGATCATGATTAAAGACAAAGCCCTGAGAAGCCAGGGTGAAATGAGAGCAGGTGTGACAGGAAGTAAGCTGGGAGGCACATTGGGGAGTAAATTGCTCACTCATGTGGATGAATCAACATACTTCCTCAGCAAATACCTTCAGTGCCGTGACATAAAATGGTTGTAAACTTGTTTAGGTGCGTTCTCAGGGGGCAGTGGACTCTTCTTCACGTGGGTGTGACTGACACCAGGTGTGTTAGGTCTTATTAATTTAGAATTCACTTCATTGTTTGGTAAATCAACCCATATTAATAACTCAACCAAAAAGTGCTGTCATACGAATGTTGACTGAGGTTTTGGGAATAATTTCTCAGTAATATTTCTGTAAACTTCAAGCATTATGAAAAAGACACATTTTTTTTTTAATCCCCCCCCGAGGAGATTTTGCCATTGAATTTTAGGGAGAGTGGAAGAGAGGGAAAGACAGAGAGAAATATCGATGAGAGAGAAACACACTGATTGGTTGCCTCCTGCACGTGCCCCTACCAGGGCTAGGCCGGGGAGGAGCCTGCAATGAGGTATGTGCCCTTGACTGGAATGGAACCCGGGACCCTTCAGTCTGCAGGCCGACACTCTATCTCCTGAGCCAAACCAGCTAGGGCACAGACATGACTGTATAAAGAACAATATATCAATGTTATTATTAATCAACATAGTTTTATAACACAAAACCATCTGTCCATGTGGGTATGAGCACATTAAAGGTTCCTGCTAATATTTATCTCCCATGTCAAAGAATGCTACACATAAAGTGTTCACATTTAGAATCTAATTTTCCTATAGATAAAACTTCGAAACATGGAATCTGAAACATGAAAACATTTTGTATGGGTGACTAACATTACTCTGAGGATTAAATTTGTGGCTTAGTGTTTTCATAAGTTAAAATGCTGGTATTTTCTTCTTTGTTTAAAAGAGCATTAAAGTAAGTACCTTCATACTTTTGAGTAAGATTTTGCACTCATACTACCCACCAGGTAAATAGAAAATCAATAATCTTTAAAGCACATATACCTTGAGCTAAAATACCAGTACATTTATATTTTATAGTTAGAACTTGTAACTCAGAATAAAAGAATTATTTTTTTTGCCTCAGTTTCCTTGCCTGTGAAATGGGAACAAAATAGCACCAACTTAGAGGGTTGTTATGAGGATGAAAAGACTATCACATGTAAAGCTTTTGGGAAAACACTTAACTGCTCAGTAAATGTAATCAGATTGATGGTGGTGGTGGTGCTTTTTACATAACCGCTCACATGAACTCTCTTACCAATGGGAAGCTACTCTAAGTCATACTTAAGGCCTGTAGAATACAGAGCAGTCTACACACCTTTCTTTCTTTGACAACTCTCACTTGGCCTTGCTTTTCAAAAGCCATGAACTTCACTGTTAAAGAAAATTTCTAGGGTTTTGAAACAGTGTGTTGTTCAATAGATCAGGACATGATTTAATCTGAGGAATATAACTGAACTGTGAAAGTGCAATTTACATTTGAATTGTAAACGTGCAATTATGACTGTGAAAGTGCAACTTTGGCCACTTTAAGATTTTCACTATTCTATTGAGGGGCTGAGTTTTTGTTTGCTTCTTTTGCTGTGTCCAGTGTAAAAAAAAATTCTTCAAAGATCTAAGCAAAGGGGAGAGAAAGGGAAAACATGATTTTAAAAATCCATCATCTAAATTTTACTTTCAGACAGAAAACCCTTTTGCCTGATTTGGCTCCTATGTACCCTGGAGCTGAGGGTCCTGAGATAGAACCTAAACTCGACCTCATAAAACACACCAACATCGTCACTTAAAAATATCTACGGCACCTAAAAGCTGCCTAATGGACTCACTGGGGTTTATCAGTCACACTGCTTGTCTTCTATGTTTCCAGTTAAAGAATCAAGATACAGAACGTATCTCCTGTCCTTCCCTGGGAACACTGGGAAGATAACTGAGGCTTTACTGGGTTAGGCGAGCTTGGCCAGAAAATCACTACGGATTTGTGCTATTTCAGTTTACGTTAATGTGTAATAAATGTATTGTTGTTGTTTTTTCACTTTCAAGAATCCCTGCACATTACATCTTTCAGTAAATGTAATCAGATTGATGGTGGTGGTGGTGCTTTTTACATAACCGCTCACATGAACTCTCTTACCAATGGGAAGCTACTCTAAGTCATACTTAAGGCCTGTAGAATACAGAGCAGTCTACACAGGTGCCAGGTAGTTGAAAAATAGTAGCCTGGCTATCTGGGGATTATAATGTTTTCTTCCATACTAGACAGTGCTCTTATTTCTAGTGGCGCAGCCTTCTTCCTTCCCCTGTGAAGAGCTGAGTCCTCAGATCAGGCATCAGCATGTTTTTGGAGCACAGGACGGAGCAGGGGTAGAGGCAGGAAAGACCCGCACAGCAGAAGCAAAGCAGACAGCATGAGAGAGATGAGGCAGGCACATGCTGGGAGGCAGAGGTCACCTTTTCTCCCTTTTCTCCTAGATCACCCTTCTCGCCTCGTGGACCAGGGAAGCCCTAGAGGACAAAAAGCAAACCAAAGAGATCTATTGATGTAACTGTGGCAAAATCAAATTGAAAAAATACATTTAAAATTGCATGTTTCTGAAACATAGATATAAATGGAAAAGGCATGCCAACAATCTCAAAACTTAGAGAAAGTAGCACTTAGGAATAATAGTTTACTAACATGTCAATGGTCTACATACTATAGGTTTCTTGCCTTTTCTCCCAGGAAATATGCAGTGGAGAGAATATCAGGATCCTCGATTGAACCCTGGGGAGCTCACTGTTCTTTGTGGCCGTGTGCAAATCACTTACCTCAGCATGTTAGTCCTTTGACTCTAAAATGGGGTTGATGATATCTACTACACAACTGTTGGCGTGAGCATTAAATGCGATGAAATAAAGTACCAGAATTCTGTCTGCACATACAAGCTGCTCAATGAACAGTAACTACTATTGCTTTTGCTATTGTTGTTATTCACCTAATACAGGATGAACAGTGCTCATTTCAAGAGGCATTTACTTTTGAGATCCTTTATATTTATAGAATTGTAAGACAAATAGGGACTTTCAGCTAAAAAATATGGCATAAGAGCTTTGAGAATAGATATACTACACCGTTACCTAAGGGTAGCATGTGAAAGATACTTGAATTTTATGCATATTTTAAAATAAGTGGTTCAAATACAAATGTTGAGAGTGTCCCTAATTTGGGAAAGTATTTTAAAGTGGCACTATCAACTATCAATTATTAATTTTATACCAGATAATTACTTTTTCCCCTTTATGTTTACCTTATGCAAACACTCATGGTGTAGTTTAGGTGGCTGTTTATATGCATAGCAATTTTTGTTGTGTGCATATCTATGTGTACAGAAACAATAAGAAGTATTCTTGCTGTTACTGATGGAGACCATCAGCATCTATTATCGTAGGAAGATGTTCATTGCATGTATTACTTACATCAAGACCAGGCTCTCCATCTTTCCCCTGCCAAAGAACCACAGTAGCTATATTAGTGTTCCCAGGTTTCATGAATAGGTTACCGTTTTCATTAAGGCTGCCTGGACATGCAACACTACTATTAGAACTACTTCACAGATGTGAAAAAGATCCCCTACTGATTAGTATTACACATTTTTTTTCACTAAATCAAGTGAAATGACTGTTAACGTTGCTGTTACGAGTCATGAAAATGTTTTCTTATATATCAGGTTAAATAGTTTGCTTTTTTGCTGAAGTGGAATGCTTGGTATCCAAGTTATCAATTCAGGAGTTAAGTTGAAAGCAAAAACCATTTAGCTGATTTAAAAACACACCAGCGCTAATAAAGGAGGCAAATCAATGCTGCTTTAATTCTCTGAGTAGTTAGCTCAGACATGAGTAAAAAATGTGGAAACTTTGTTGTTAAATATAGTTTGGATTTGGCTAGCGTGCACCTTGTCTATAAATACTGAGGGTGTGAAGGTCACACCTTAAAGCACTGTTTTTAAGTAAACTTTGTAAATGAATGATCCCCAAATATGAAAGGGGCCAGAAGGCTGTTGTGCGCGGAGGATAAACGCACTCCCACGGCGCAGATGCCCGGGGCAGGGCCTATTGTGTCTCACAATGCATCCACCCAGAGTTCCTAAGAGGTTGCTTTGATTCCGTCAACTGAAATCTATTTTAAAAATCAGCCTTCACTTTCAATCTATTTTAAAATCAGCCTCTCTTTCAGCATTGAAGTTATGATGGTTTTAGTTTATTATTTCAGTTCATAAAAACTGAAAGTCCAGGGTATGTGGACGTGCATAGGGGTTAAAAACCTCAATACAAGCCTACAGTTCTATTGTAGTCCTTCCCAACCCCATGGGATCATTTGTGATGATCCCAAAGATAATGTCCTACAGCAAACCCGAGGCCTCAATTTGAAGTCTGTGTCATTGAGAATTTTTATCCACATCCTATGTTCCAGATCCCCTGTAATGACAGTAACAGAGGGATCAGAGACATGGAGTCATCGTAAACGTCAATTCGAGAAATGACTAATTAGCAAGAGAGGTTTTAGTAAGTAACCTATGAGAACAGATAAAATCTGCAGGAAGTTGTTCTAAATAAAGCTCCTACACCCACTTCTGGTACAGTGACCTTCCAAAAAAGTGCCAATCATGGGCGTCCAGTCAGATGGTAGGGGCAAGGCGTCACTGGACAGGGGGCGTCCCACCTTTAGGTGACTCTGATCCTCTCCGTCTTGTGACGTGTGAGGGCAGGTGTCTGTACGTGAGTGGGAGGATGACATGAATGTGACCTATCTCTGGAGGACATGGTGATACTGGGCTTGTAGAGAATTAGTGGACTGTTCTTGCTCCTGTAATGTGATTAGCTGGTCCCACAAGGGCAGGGTTAAGTGGCAGGTGATCTGTGCATGCTGAAGGTGCAGACCGCACACCAGACAGAGGACTCACGGGCAGGCCGTAGGGCCCTCTGGGTCCGGGCTCTCCCACAGCTCCTTTTTCGCCCTAAAATGAAAGGTAGAAAGTTCAAATCAGACACAAACACCAATATTCACACCTGTGCCCAAATGGCCTGTGTGTAAAGCTCCTGTTTGAATTATCATTCTATCAAAATACCAAAGATTCAGGCTCTTCCAGAATTGCTGTCAATGATACAGTAAAAGTAATCTACATAAGACGATTTTATTAAATCACCTTAGAAAGAGCATAAGACTTCCACTGCCCAGTTGTGCAAAAGGACCAGTGTGTCTAGGATGCTGTATTCGTGTTTCTTGGGTGTTAATGCGAAACATTTATTTGTTACTAATTATTTTAAGTTACTATTTATTTATTATTGTTAATCCTCACCCAAGGATATTTTTTTTCATTGATTTTTAGAGAGGAGGGGAGAGGGAGAAAGAGAGAGAGAATGTACGTGCATGCAAGAGAGAGAGAGAGAGAGAGAGAGAGAGAGAGAGAGAGAGAGAGAGAGGAGATTGATTGGTTGCTTCCCACCAGGCTGGGGATTGAACCTGCAACCCAGTTACGTGCCCTTGACCGGGACTCGAACCCTCGACCCTTTGGTGTATGGGCTGATGCTCTAACCACTGAGAAAAAACCAGCCGAGGATTAAATGATAATCTTGAATGCTTATAAAGAATAAGTGTAATTGGAGGTGGTCCCATGAATAGGAAATAATTACAATGACAGAGAAAAGATATTCTGCATTTCAAGTAAAAAACCCCTTCTGCCCCCATCTTCAAAATTAATGTGTTTCTCAGGATTTAGCATGAAAACTTCAGGAGTCACGATGATGTTTATGTGAGTGTTCAGACAGAAAATGTTACCTTCTTTTCTCACACCTCTGAAGTTCAAAGGTTAGCAACTCTTTCTCATGAGTAAAGTGCCAAGTTCAGCTGCTCATTCTGAATGCAGATCCATGTATTTTGCTGTGTTTGTCTATACTCCAGATTCCCATTTGAGCAAATTTAAAGTCCCTGTTAACATTCTTCTTTAATCTAAACTTAGGGATTGGTGGAGCTAATTAGCATGGTCACCCAGAAACACATAAAGAATAGGGAGGCCACTGAAAATAAATGTGATCAATGCTTTTGAACTTTTACTCAGTATTACTGAAAGAGCTGCATTTGCTTTCAGGAAAGTGGCAGGCTTTGAAATAAAACACATTTAAATTTGAATTCCAGTCCTGTCACGAACTATCTGTATGGCCTTAGGTAACTTTTTTTTTTTAATCTTCACCCAAGGTTATGTTTTTCTTGATTTTAGAGAGAGAGGAAGAGAAAGAGAAACATCAATGAGAGAGAGAGAAATATCGATTGGTTGCCTCCCCGTAGGCACCCTGACCAGGGATCGAACCAAGAACTTAGGTCTGTGCCCTGAACCCGAAACCTTTTGGTGTAGACTACGCTTCAACCAACTGAGCCACCCCCCGTCAAGGCTTAGGTAATTTTCTTTACCTTTCTGTGCCTGAGTTTCATTGGCTGTTAAATAGGAATAATACATATTCTACAAGAATTTTTCTGAAGACAATTTTTCTGATTATAAAATATGAAATTCACTATGTCCCATATATAGTAGCTATCATTATTATACAATTAGAGGTCTTATTTTTAATTAAAAAAAAAGGCTCAGCAATTCAAAGAGCAACTCAAATTAATTCAAAATAAGTTTATTTCATTTTGAGCTGGTATGTTATTTATGATTTTTAAAATGGTGGTGGTGGTGGTGGTGGTGTGGGTATGTGTAGTGGGAGGTAGGGGTTTAAAAGGAGGGTTCACATAGCCTGGAGTAGATCTAGTTTAAAAAAATTCAACAGATTAGAGTAGGTTTTGTTTGAAAAAGCTCCAAAGATTATTTTGATCTACCTACTCCCTTCCTCCTCCTCTGATTGAGCACTTCCGCTTTATTTTGTTTTTAAAGTGAATATGCCATGGCTTATTTGAATTAAGCTGTCACTCAGACATTTGTGTGTGGAACTTTTCGTATAGAATTGGCCTCCCCAAATAATAACTTTAAGCTAATAGCAATCCACTTCTCTCAGCAGTGACTGCTTCAGAAGTGGATAGGAGGTGTGGGGGAAGTCAGCTGGGACGCTATGGGGCGTGGGAGGGGAAGGTCTCTGTGTGTGTTCTCTGCCATGGCTCCTGGGGGGGAGGGAGGAGGTCAGCACACGGGAACCTGCTTGCCAGTGGTCAGAAGACAAGGCCAGCAGGCGGAAAGGGCACAGAAGCAAAGCCGAGAGCCCTCCTTTGAACGTTTTGTTATATAAAACAGTAAATGTCTTCACTATATTTTGAGTTGGGGGCTGCCATTTAGAGTCAAAAGCATCCTAATGGTCTCAGTTTGAAAACTTTCAGGAGTGAAATATTAACACAGGGATTGGAATGTGCAACTTCTTCTCCTGGATTAAATAATTCAAAAAAAAAAAAAAAGACGTGCACCTCTCCAATTTAACAACTTCTGCAGAGTTCCTAAGACGTTACAAGGCCAGATGAAGAAATCAGCGGAAGGCAGGAACCTCGGCGAGCTTGAAGAGCAGAATACTAATGGTGCCAGTCACGCATCTGACAGTTTCTGAAAAACACTGTCAAATGTCTGGCTTCCTGTAGGCTGGTCTAATTTTATTCGGGCTCTCTCATTTGCATGTCTACACTAAGAAATTATTCTAGAATGACCCCCTTTCCTGATTCCTCCCGCTTTAAAATTTGAAACTTCTTCACGACAGTCCAGATGGCGCCTCAATCAATTAACACTGAGAATCACACTCCAGTTTAGCACTCTGGGTGAGGGGCACTTAGGGAGTACTGATATCGGACCCAGTTAAGATAGTTAACGTGCTGAGTAAATAAATACAAGTGTAACACTTTACACTGCACACCATTTGACTTCAACTATGCCTTCAGAAATTCTTAGAGATTTCATTTGCTCTCCTGGTTAATCCTGCCCCAGGGCCGAGACCTGATACTCTTGTGACACTGTGGAGCTATCGGAAGTAGCAGCTGATTTACCAAATGGTAAACCCTCTTGAGCCCCAGGGCCTCCTGCCAAAAGACTACTTGAGATTTGCTGCTCCATTTTTAGTACATGTACTGAATTTCTTGACACAGTGCTTGAGTGGGTCAGCAGTGGAGGCTCTTCGCTTTTAAATATTTTTAATTAAGAAGAGCTTCATAAGTCATTGGCTTGATCTTAGAAATAAGATCAAATAAAGGTAACTGCAGATTCAGATTATTTATTCCGTTAAGAGTCACCTCTTTCTAGAAGCATTCTTGGACGAAGCCAGCTTCCCTCATCGCTGTATGAACAGCCTGGGTTTAACTGTATTCACTGTGGCCTCATTATCTGGTTATTTTTCTCAGAGATTTTTTCCTCTGCAATTAGGCTGTAAACTCTTCTAGATCAGGGAAAATAGCTGCTTCCTTTACAGTACTGAGTAAATATATTTAGTGTATTAGTAAAAGATTATAAGATGAGGAATTCATTATAATGGCATTTAATTCATTGGAGCAAAATAGACTTTACATAAAAAGGGGGAGTGTGTTTCCATTTCATACTGAAAGTACACTGTGTTTTATACATGGTAACATGTGATAAATATTTATTGAATGAATGAATTCAATTTATAGAACATGGAATTGGGATGTACGCCAAAGAAATCACTATGTGGACAAATTATCCCAGATTGATGAAACGCTATCTAGTTTTAAAAGACCACAAATGAATTATTCCAACGTCTTGAAGCCCTCGCTATTAGGATACTTTCTTTTCATTCCATCCTGGATGGTGGGGAAACTGATGACACAATTCCACTCAGACACACAAACACTTCCAAGTGTTCCAAGGCGAGGAAAAGGACAAGTGGGGGAAAAACAGAGAACGAGGGAGAGGAGTTCCAGACAGATGACCAGCTGCTGATGCGGCAGCACATTTTTGTGTGTCAGATATTTATCTTCCACTCTGACTTCTTTTTTTTCCCAGGGATATGGAAACATGGCCTAGCAATAGAGAGGTTAGTGAAAGGTTTTTGTTTTATAATGCACTGAAATTATTTCCGTATGGTTAAAGGAAGACAGTCTATTGTTTTTGTTTTTGTTTTAAACAGCAGCATGTATAACTGTGTGGAAAAGAATATGTAGGTTTTGGTCATTTTCTTTAGAAAGTTATAACTTACTCTCAATGAAATAAAATAGCTTTCTATGAAAGATTATCAGCCAGAATACGTAGTCGTGGAAATGTTAGCCCTATTTACGGGGTTAAGGCTAAGTAAAAATATCTTCCTTACGGGTTCTGAGCTATTCATGTCAGCTATGCAAATGTATGCATTGTTTTCTATTAGGGCAGCCGTATCCCATGTTATACTCTGTTGTTCTCTCTCTCAGAGTGAAGACTCTGAATAGAACTTATGATCATATCTATTTTCATTTAATAGTAGATGGCCCTTTGTTTCTTCTGGGAAGTTGAAGTAAAATGAAAAAGCCACACTTTAGTTTCTTATTCAGGTCACAGCTTAGTAACCTCAGGAGCAACTTACTCTTTCTCCTTTGGGACCTGCAGGGCCATGAGGTCCCATAGGGCCATCTGTACCCTAAAAAGAGATAAAAAATAAGACAATATGAGACATATCCCGGGGCTGTAAGAAAAGCAGTTATAATGTATCCAGGACTTTCCTGGGCGAGTGACGCCCAAGAATGTCAGTAAGACAACTCATCTCCTTCCAAAGTGCTTTATACTGGATTCTTTCAGGCCAGTGGTTTTCAAGAATCTCATGTAAACGGGATGAATTATATAACTGCCTGTTTCAATGAAGGGCCCACACAAAAAGCTGTAGATCATATTTAATTACACATTTCCTTCCTGACTGAATGGAACATCTTCACTTTGCCTCCCCCATCTTAGAAAAACCTGCGGTTGTTTTTTCTTCACATCACCTCTAGTTCACATTCGTTCTCCACCCCCCACTGCCAGCCCTACTTTCCTTGGCCACCGATGCTTCGAAGCCTTGTTTTCAGCTGCTTGAGGCTTGAACAGTTACACAAGTGAACAAAATTAAAAGAGAACAGTGTTCAAACCAAACTTTCTTGAGCTCCATGCAGAGCAGCAGGGGGCTTCGAGGGAAGGAATTATTGTTGCAGGTCCTGCTGCAGTGGCTGAAGTGACTAGGCTTACAAGGCACAAACCAGGCAGCTGATGACTTAATGGCATAATTGCCTTCTGGCCTCCTAGTTTAGGATCAGGATTTCTGTGGCCTGAATGAATATAGGATCACTGAGGTCCAAGGAAAACAATGGCTGCCTGGAGAAGGTTTTTTTAGAATCGAAGAGCTAACATTTCTTTTGATTCTTAAAATTGTAGCTAGGACTTCAAGTACGTTGGCTCATTTTCAGGAAGACTATGCTTAGATTTGCAAAGAATTTGTTATAAAATCTGCACATGGAACAATTCAGCACACGTTTTTATAGTGTTTTTATTTCTCTCCTACTGTTCTTGCTTATTCTCTTACAGCCTTGTGATATGAAGTAACTCAGGGTTTTAAGTTCATTCTAATGTTGGTGAATTCTCACCATCTTAAACTGATCTTTTACTGCCTGAACTCAAAGTTCATCTTCAGAAGACTTGTAAAGACTGAGTCCCTGTGGCTGAAATTTAAGAGATGGAGCTGTTAAGAGCCAAAGAAAAGAGACAACAACAGAAGACAGACAATTCATTTCGATGAACAAAGATTTGAAAGTTAGTCCAATGAAGAAGGTACATTTCTAATATGAACATAAACATAAAAGGAAAAGCAACTTAAAATAAATCCACATTATTTTAATCCCATCAGAGGGCCTCTCTCCTGGAATTACAGGAAATGTCACTGGTTATGGAGAAATGTGCCAGGATTCTGAGACAATGATGCCAATTAGACTGGCTATTCTTGTCACCTAGCAGGTAATCCAGACCTGAGCTCCCATTTCAGAAACATGTTTTGTAGTTAAGGCTGTACGTCCCACAGAGCCGCAGCCCATGCTCTGTCCACCTTCCCCTTTTCTGCCACTGTCTTTGTCCACCTTCTTGTTTTACCCCAATCCTAGGTACCCTCCTCTTCTAATGAGAACACATGAGCCGAAAGGGTCTGTCCGAAGCACAGAATTCACAGCCACAAACGCGCTGGAGCAAGACGAGGAGGCACTGACTCACCCGGGCTCCTGGCTTTCCGTCTAAGCCAGATGCTCCCTGTGTGATTTGGTTGGTAGCAGGGTTGGTGGGTGTAACACGAATGACAAGAACAGAGATTAGTATGAGGTACCAGCGAACAAGTGTAACACTTCAAACAACATAATACTCAGTCACAGGGTTCTGGGATGAATATCACATTGCTACAAATTGTTAGTTTAAAAAAAAAAACAAAAACAAAAAAACAAAACACAGGACAATAAACATCCCCATAGACGATGGCATTTTTATGACATTTCCATTTGACAAATTCTTATTTAGAAATCAAGGTAATGAGGTTCATAGAGTGGCTTTAAAGTAGTTACAGTAACTAACAGTCACAGGCTACTAATATCCGTATGAAATTCGTTTTCTAAAGACTGTACTATTCACAATATTTTTCTTAAGTTCTGAAGGAAAAATAATGGCAGATCTCCTAAGAAAGGTCTCATTATAATAATAAATCAAGGATAGCATTTCAGAGGAGAAGATAAGAACTCCAGTCTTGCTAGTTAAAATAGCCTTTATGAATGACAAATGCAGAACTTGAACATGTCGGGATAACTGTGGCTTTTACATGAACAGTCATTGATTTCTGGGTTGTTCTTACTGTGTTCACATTAATCGCCACTAGAGGGACTTCTAGGAACAGGAAAAAGCCAGAAATAGCTCATGAGTCCAAACAAAAAATAACTGTCCCAAACAAAACTGTTCCTTGACTCACTTGAAGTAATCAAATAATCATCGCAGCAAAGTCTGGATGGGAAATGTTTTAAAAATCCAATGCAACGCATGCTTTTCTTCACCTTGGGCTCCAGTGAAAGATTAAAAGATGACATTTTCAATGCTTATTTCAAGAATAAGCACAATTGATTCTTTGATATGGCATTTGTATCTCAAAACTCAAATATTTATTTATAGTCCTTTAAAAATTGATTAGATGAAGAATTATTTAGGAAAGACAATGCTCTAGCCCTATAAATTCTCTTGGCAAGATTGCAGAACTATTTTCCCATTTTATGCTTCAGATGTAATTAATAATACAAAACGAAAGAAAACATCTATTCCAGCTGCAAACTCTACCAATGATGCTATACCATATATATTTTGGGTAATTTTAGATTTTACTTTATAATTCATTCTGTATAATTTTATTATGAGGATTTTCACTGCAAAAACATCTTTAGTTAGCAATGATTAAAAAATTTTAAAAAGTGTGTTGTTGTTAGTTTAATGCTAGCATATGCAGAGCTTTCTGCTAATGTATACAAATTATCACTAATCCTAAATTTAAATGAAACAGAAATCCAAAGTTTATTTTGCCTTTTGGTACTTTGTTCAGTCACCATTATTATAACATTTAAAAATAAATAGGGAGATGATAAAATTTTTGCATTGATAATATATTCACCTGGGATGTGAATTAATGACTCATATATGTTATAGAGGTTTTATTCCGAGGTCATCCATTGATCTAATTGGCATGATTTAACCTATGCTCTATCACTAATTCAATAAATGAATATCTATTAAGCATCTACTACATGCCTGATTTATGTAAGGCACTGGTTATCAAGTAGAATACTTACTACTTAAGTTATCGTACCCACAGGGAAAATAAAATAACTGGTAATCAATTTTTTATGTGTAAAATATGTGTATAAATTATTTCCTATTACCAATTTTATGTCATTTTAATCATGTAATTTATAATGTTCTTTATTGACTTTTGTTGGTATTCACTGAATAGACAGCATAGTAAAAGCTTGAAACTACAACTTATAGTCAATAACCATTTTTTAAAAATATCTTTTTAGTTGTGGAAAGAAGACTGGCATGAGGTACTGGAAAGGTAAAAATCCACCTTTTTCTTAAAAATGAAAATCTCTAAACAATTGCAAAATACTTCTCCCATCCTATCCACTATTGCCACAATAATCTCTTAAGAGAGCATTTCCAAAACAAACAACATACAACATTTAGACCTCGATATGACTGATTAATGTAAGGAGCCACAGCACTGACCTCCTGCCATCAACAATGGCCAATTGCACACCTGCCACCAACAGAGGGCTACAGTTTGGGTATCAAAGGAGTAAAAAAATTGAAGGAGAATTTAAATCTGCACTAAATTATAAAAAAGTTTGAGAGAAATTAGGAGCACAGTACGTTTGTAAAGAGGAGGGTGATGGGAGGAGGATTGTCAGCTTTAACAGAGGAAGGCTGGCATGTATGTAATCGAAGGACAAAACAGTGATGGCATTGTGTGTATGGGGTCTTCCTCTTACAGAAGAGCAGACGTTGGGAAAAGAAATCGGGCTGGGCTCTGCGCTAACAAACGCAATGTGTTCTCCAATTACAGACATCTCAGCTATTAGTAGTTGCCAAGCAAACCAGAGTAGTTGCTTAAGGTAGAAAGAAAAGTCTGAGATTTGCACTGAAATGGAAAGTTTTCTTTACTTACTGGAAGACCAAGGGGTCCTCTGTCACCCTTTTGACCTGGTTCACCCTTCAATCCTTTAACACCATTTAACCCTGGTTCGCCCTAAATGCAAAAGCAAATGCCAATTTTGGTTGCTATCACGGGCGTTTCAGCTATGAGAGAAGAGAGCCAGTCTCGGAAATGGTTGCAGATTCCAGTTTTAGGTAACAGCTGAGTCAGGCTAGATTTGTCTTGTATCAGTTCAAACTTAATTTCTAAAACATGACAAAATTAACAAACTGAAATGGACAAGTAATATTCTAGGAAACAAAACACCCTAGAAAGTATGCTCTTCAGAATCAAAATATATATAACTGAGTTCCTGAAATTTTCAGTTGTATATCAAGGAAATTGGTGTTGTGCCCCATTGTTCTGACCAAGCAAATCAGAGACAATCAGTGGAAGATGCTGAAGGAGATTCAGTAATAAAAAACCCACTCTGCTGCAATGGAAAACTGGAATATGCAGGACAGTGTTATACACAGACATTTTAAGCCTTTAAGCATTTTGCCCAGGGGAATGAGCTAAAAATATAGCCGCTGATGTTTGAAGTAATGCCATTTAGTGAGTCCTCATTCACTGACATTGCCAGGTCAGGTCCCTACCTGGATTAATCAATAGAGTAGACAGCAAATAGCCAATCCCAGAAGAAAACATGAAGATCACAGAACTTACATGTACTAAGTTCATCTGCCCAATGTTTGAATGAGGAAGGTTTGAATTTAGTTTAGGGTTATATTACAAAAGCCACGGGAAGTGATAAAATTTTGTTGACTCTGTGTTTTTTTTGTGTTGTTGTTTTTTTAAATCTAAGAATACAGTACACCTATGTTCTATTAGCAGCAGCAGGATGTTAGAAATAGAGTTTAACTGGTTCACTCTTTAACTTTTAAGCACAGACATTAACTTCATCAAGAAAATTTGAAAGCCTTGAAGATTATTTCAGTCTCAAAGCCCTATAGAGTCTTTCTGGGTGGGGTGTGAGGGAGGAGAGACTATGTCTACATGGCAGGAGGGTGGTACTTTCCCCATTTCTCTGATGATGAAATCAGTGTGGTGCTTGCTTAACATAAAGAGCCTGGGGCGCCATGTAGACCTTAGCAGCGCAGGAAACGTGTATTTTTAATAAGCCTTCCAGATGATTCCTCTCATCGGGAAATGCTGGGAAACAGATCACCCTTAGTACCATGTTACATATTTAAACTTTCAAAGGGGTCACAAAGGAATGAACACATTTGGGCAAAACCTAATGAAATTTTGGGATTCTAAAGATAGGATGATCACAGTGCTTCCACTATAGGGAATCCAAATGGTTGGTAAAGTATGATCCTGGGAATGTCACAGAGCTAGAGTTCATGTGAGGTCAAGGCCAAGGCTCAATAGTCTAATTCAGTTAACTGGTCTAAACTTGAGATACCCAGCTTTGCATGTGTGTGGTCTTTCAGCAAGTGGTCTTGAGATGATGGATAAGCAGGAAAACCTTGGTAGGCTGTGAAATGCTTTGGTAAGGAATCATGTATTGATAGGACTGGTCATTAACTTAGAAGGTGAGTTTATAAACAATCTAATTCAGTGGCAAAAATACCAAATTTCAATGCTGGACCTAAATTCTAGTCCCAGATCTATCATTTAATTAGTGTAATTTGGGGTAAATTACCTGGGCCTATAGTTTATCATCTATAAGATCAAGGAATTAGGATAGGTATTCTATGAGGTCTTTGAAACTTTATAAAAATTTTCTGAAGTCTATGATTTAAGTATAATTAAAGTTTAAGTGTAGGCAAAAAGATCATTGCATTTTAGATATCAAAAGAATCTTGGGCATCTATTAATCTAATGGCGGGATATCTGAATCACTCAAGGAATTAAAAACACAGTCTTAGTGGCTTTAGTCTGAGTTATTATGATTGGGCTGATTTTTAGGGGTGCCTTAACATCCATGGAGAAGCCAAGAGTGGGAAAAGAGGCCCAGAGAAGTTAGATAACTACTAAGATTACAAAGCCAGTAGATGGGCTCTCTCTTCTGACCCCCAGAACAATGCTTTTACCCCAAACTATAATCCATGATTCTGAGACACTACCACTCACTGGCCTCACCAGAAGGTAAGGTATTCTACAACGAATAAAGAGGCATGAACTCGTCCTGTGCTTGGGTGAGCCACCTGCCTGACCTCAAAAAGGGAACTCAGGTTTCAGGAGTCAAACAGATATCTCTGCCACTGCTAGAGCTGGGTGAGCCAGAGGAGAGGGTGGGCTGCCTTTCTGACTCCTATGCCAACATTGCATTATGTGTTCTCTCACCCCTCACCATTAAAATGCACCAACTCATTACTGAGGAGCTTTCAAGAGTACTTGAACCTTCTCTAAAACAGCCTTAGGACTAGCTAAATTTTTCTGTTCAGAACAGAGCGTCAAATCAGAAGTTACCAAAAACAAATGGCACTTATGGGTGCTTATCAACAACTGCACCAGATATTTTGCTATTAAATCATCACAACCCTATGTGGTAAATTACCTAGTTGAGTAAATGAAGGATCAGAGAGGGTAAATAATCTGCCCAAGGTAACAGAGCATGTCAGGGCAGAGCTGAGATTAGGATATAGTTCCTTATCGTGCATGTCCCCTGGAAGAAGAAGACTGTCTTTCAGGGCTCATTCTAATCCTCCAAGGTGTCCTCTTGGTTTACACGAAAGCAGAGAACAGGTGGAGAGACCATCTTCACAATACATGCTGCACTAATGCTAAAAGGAGGGGCTATTCTCCATTGTTCTCTTGTTAATTCAGAGTATATGTGTGTGTCTCAATGTATATGATGTAATCTTCTCAGTATAGCACACATACACCCCACTCCATTCTAGGCCAGTGCCCTCAGGAGAGTACAAAATTAAGATGCTGGACAGTCAAAGCATTTAGATGCAGTGCTGCTACATGACAAGCAAGAAGTATCAATAACATCTAAATGTACAACTCAAGATACGATAACAAGAAAGCATCTGGACTAGACTGAGAATCCCATCAGATTTACTTCTAAATGGTTGATTTTGAGTATATTATGATTAGTGATTTCAGAAACTTACATAATAACAAGGAAAAAAAGGCAAAATGAGGAATAATTCATCTCCAGGTGATATCACTTAAATTTGTTCTAAGTCATTCTGTGTTGTGAGAGTTAAACATCTGGATACTTAAAGGCTTAAAGATTATCAACATTCTTGACAAGTAAATAAGACAGGACAGACATGCTTCCGTCATGCTTCTCCATGATTAACAAGGAAACAGAAATCAAATAATCAAGGGATTTGTTAGATTACCTTTGGTCCAGGAAGTCCATGGGGTCCCTGAAAATGAAAAACACAGCTTTTAATTAAGAACTGATTCACTGTTTCCCAGCAGAAGTGATTACATAACGTAACAAAAGAGATGTAAAACAAGAATCTCTTTGTTTGAGCTATAGCTCCAGGCAGGCCAGTGGATGTTAATACCTAGTGGAAGTTCCTTCCAGCTTCTGGATTGCTCTGTCATAGAAAATTTATTAATAGCATTTCTTTTTTTTTAAACAACAACAAAGATAATGGTTTACTCAATCATTCCATTGTTTCATGGCCATTACAAAAGCTAATACAGAGGAAAAAATATCAATAGTAATTTCTATCACCATGAGATACATAATGATAATCCCTGTCATTTCATAGTATTCTTTCTAAAAGAAACTCTCACCACAGCCATGGCAAGTAAAGTAAATGGCACACAGTGTTTAAGCACGCCAATAGCGATTTTTTATGCTAAATACCTGAGAGAGGGAGGGTGGAATCCGAGAGAATTATAGGAAAGAAAAAAATAGGGAAAGAAAGTATTGTGAATCCACACTGCTCCCATTTCTCAAATCCCCATTAAAAATATAGGTGGAAAACGTGAGATACATTATGAATGTATATGGAATATAGATGTCTTAAAAGACAAAAATTTACCAAAGGAAAGTTCCAGACTTTAAATACCAGTGAAGAGGGGACCCTTCCCATTACTAACTGCTCTAGACCCTGGTATTGGGGACCCTGAGGTAGAAAGGAAATGCAAAGATGATAGTCAATTCTGCAGCCCTGTTGCATAATTTGCTTAATTTAAGGCTAAGGAAAGGGTCTAATGTGGTAGTGGGAAGGATTATTTACCAGTAGAATATATTTATTTTGACAAAGATGAATTCTTCAAGGTTCTTGCAACAAATGTTTACCAATGTTAGGAAGTCATAACGCGTGCATGAGTCCGGGCTTTTTCCCTGTATTTTGTGGAAAATCTAAATATAGAGACTAATTAGCCAACTTAAATTAACTAAAGGTTACCATGAATTGCTTTAAAGTTTTCAAATAATTTAAATAAACTATTGGAAAGAGAGTATTTAAGTACCTATCAGTAAAATCATATGACAGTAGGAAAAATTTTTAACAAGCAATACATTGAAGTTTGTTACATACATGTCCATTGGAATATTTTCTCCTTAGATAAGTTGTGAATAAAGATGTTCAGGAAATGTCTGATATTTTATCAAGTATTCTTATCTCATTTTAGTAATGATTTGAAATTCTTTTAAACTAATTAATTTTAGGATAGGAAGAGGATATAGTGTTGTTGAATCTTCTAACTTAAAGCGGAGGGAGTATAAAAAAACCAAAATATGCCATTTGCTTAATTCTTAAAAAACTGTTTCGTTTTTAAGAAAAGGTTATTTATAATTGTTTTGTGGGTGAAATAGGAAAGGCAGTAAGAAACAGATGACTGGGTCTGGACTGTGCTCTGTGGCTTGCATCATTCCAATGAAGTTCTTTCTTAGATTTGTATTTAATCCGTATGATTGAAGACATGTGATTATTGAGACCACCAGACGTGAATGTGATTTCAGAGGCTGCTGGACTTGTCCCCATCCTGCCCTGGTCTAAAGCACTGGAAGCATCTGACTTCCATATTCTACCCTTAACACACCGTCATTAGATAAACATTTGGAGAATTACACTGGTTTAATGGCTGCCTTCTTCACTGGACCTAAGTTCCATGAGGACATGGCCATTGTCACACTGATCACTGAGGGATCAATGAGGGATTCCTGCAGTAAAGACTGTATCTATCAAAGTACCATAAAGTACAAAGGAAAGGATTCAACAATGTCTGCCACCTGTGGAAGCGAGCTTCGATTTTTATCGTATTATTTTATAAATGTTCTCATTGAACATTTCATTAAAGGATCTTAATCTTCAAAGCTGGTTAAAAACATGTCTTAATGGCTATAATTATTAATCTTATTCTGCTACCAATGGCCCAGAACAGTGTTTAAAATGATTTTCTGATGTTCACGTTGTAAGGCTGGAGTAAAGCTTGCCAAATCTGTCTGTCTTCAACTTTCCTATCACAAAACTACTCTATCTCTTTCCTACAGACATGTTTGGGGAGTGAAAGACAACACTGTAAAGTCAGTACATCTCAAAGCACCTCGTATTTTCTGTCCACTCCACAGAGAGCAGTAGGAAATACAAGCTGGCTGTTTTGAGGAATGCGCTCATGTTTTCTCTAGTAGCATGCTCATAAATAAATGACTACATTTTGGAGAGAAGAGAGACTTACCATGGGGCCTGGTGGACCATGGGGACCTGGTGGGCCTGGTGGGCCTATGATCTGTATGTCAAAAAAATAAACATGGATTTGGTTACTTCATTTAGATAAGGCGGTTTGGCTTGAATCTTTTGCTGGGATTCTGTTAAGGCCATTAATAGTTGCAGAGAAAGAAGGATACTGGAAGAAATGATGTGTTTGATTCTCTAGGTTTGGAAATTCCTTTATGAGAACAAAAAAAAAATCTTTAAAAAATACAGTTCTTTTACAAAAGCCAGAATAAATCAAACGTACATTAAACAAAAAGGAAGCAACTGATTTCCAAGAAATGCTATAATGCCACAACCACTATTAAACTCTCCAATATTTCACTAGGCAACAATAGGGCTCTGGAGAGAAAAAAAAACAACGTATGTTCTATATCCACAAAGCTCTACCACAAGAGTCATGGGAAAACCATTGATCCCCCCCTCCCCCGCCCAGGATTAGACAGTCCTCTGAAAAATTGCTTCTAACTGAGACCTCTGAGGCATTTTGTCTCTCATTGTCCAAGGCCAACAGTATTTATTCTACTGCCTGACAAACCAAGAGGTTCATGGTTTTTCCACTGTTGATAAGCCATCTGGCAGAGGTTGAACTAGATGAATAATAGGCCCGTTTTGGAGTTTTTCAGGAACCATGGGAGTTCAGCCACCACGGACTTACAGAAGGGCCCTGAGGACCTGGCAATCCGGAGTCTCCTTTCTCTCCTTTCATTCCATTGGCACCCTACAAATGACCAGTAAGAGAGTAGAGCTGGTCAAGTTATTTCCACAGTGTAAGGAACAACTGAATTTTCTCCCCAAACCCATCATCCTCTTGAAATTTGTATATTATACACATGATATGTAAAAGAACGATTTATCCTCCTACATTCTAGTTTCCCCAAATGCCTAGACTGTGGGTGATATGTGAAATAAAATACAAAGTAAATGTAAACCAAGTTAGGCTTGATTGGTTCAACTTATACATTGCTGAACATATATTATGAGTGTTATATTTTTTTATGGCGGTGCTCACTTTAAAAGGCAAAGTTCAGTCTTTTAACTATGTCATTAACATTTATTTATACACTTCCTTGTTTAAAAAAAAATTGAGGGCAATGAGGTTTTCTGAATTTTTTTCCCTACGTTTGACAATTTCCCCCCTTCCCAATTCTAGTAAAAATTATGGGGGAAAAACACCTTCCCATAGTATCATACATGTAAAGAGGAGAATTTCCAGAGTAATTTATTTTTAATTGTTTTACATTTTTGGTTTATTTTTAAATTATGATTTATTTAAAAATGATCAGTTATCACTATCTTATGCATACTAAATTAAAGTGGCCAACTTTATTTATTTTAGTGCCTTCTAGTAAAATGAATTCAGGGAAACATGAAGGTTTATTTCATAATTCATTTGTTTGACGCTTTAAAATTTGTTGTAGAGCCCCACGTGCAGTAATTAAACAATACCTCAAATATTTAAAAATTAGAAGATCATATGAATGATTAGATGAGACTGCAGCTAATCATATAATTCTTTTCTGGTTATTCATCTTAATAGGAACACAGAAACATACCGGCAATCCAGGAAGTCCGATTCCTCCTTTTTCACCTGGCATACCTGGGTCCCCCATGTCTCCCTTTGAGCCTTTGAGTCCCTACAAATGATATGGTTTGCATGTAAGAATCATACTATCCCTTGATAGTGACATCCTAGGGAACACAGAATTCCAGATCAATTTTGTCAGTAGGTGGGTCCTGTGTAAAGATGATTCTGATTTTCATTTTTAGGCAGAGTTATTTCTAGTAGCAACCTTCTACATTCAATCAACATTATTTCCCTGTGTAATAGAAGGCATTGAATTCTATCATTCAGGCCATGTAAGTATGAAAAATATGAACTTAGGTGTTGCCATCACTTCTCCTGATCTCATATTTTTTTACCTGGCAGCTAATTCTTATGTAAGAATCATACTATCCCTTGATAGTGACATCCTAGGGAACACAGAATTCCAGATCAATTTTGTCAGTAGGTGGGTCCTGTGTAAAGATGATTCTGATTTTCATTTTTAGGCAGAGTTATTTCTAGTAGCAACCTTCTACATTCAATCAACATTATTTCCCTGTGTAATAGAAGGCATTGAATTCTATCATTCAGGCCATGTAAGTATGAAAAATATGAACTTAGGTGTTGCCATCACTTCTCCTGATCTCATATTTTTTTACCTGGCAGCTAATTCTTTATCACCGGTCCTGAAAACAATTTAATGGCTTAATTCTCAACAGCAAAGTACACATCTGAACCAGAACCTAGTGTTATAATAGCAAAGGTCCAAATAAATGTATCCCATCTCCCCCTATATCCTTACTGTCCCCTTGAAATTCAGGCAGAAGTTCCAATCACCACCAGTTTTCAATGGTCTAATCTAGACAGGAAAATCATTCACTGCACACTGATGTTCAATCAATGCTTAGAAATACTGCAACTTTTCCACAGTGTTCTTATTTTGTTCTCAGGACATCTCTGTGAGGTGATCCAGGATCTTATTTTTATTCTCCTTTTACTATGAGGAAATAGATACTAATAAATGTGTATTCTGAAAGCCAACAACTCCGAATTAATGATACCAATACTGAAATTATGTTGTTAAGCATTTCATTGAAGGAAATGCATAATTTCCTCATTCCTCAAAACTGCATTCCTCAGTGCAATATGACCAGATGGCCCGTCTTCAGCAGAGATTATCATAGTTATTACAATAAGGGAAGCTGAGGCTGCATAACCTGTTCATCTTTTCTATACTGAAAACTACTTGTAGACAGAAATGTGTCTTTTCTTGTTATTTATACTTATTTTATAGCACCTACTTCAGAATCACCTTTTAGGTGGGTGGGTGGGAAGGTGCCTGAATGACTAAATAAATCTTACTGGTTAATCAGACCCTGGTTGGTTTTAGGGCTCTAGTGATTGCAGCAGAATAGCCAACCTGCTGGACATAGTAGCAGAAGAAAACCTTGTAAAGTCTATAGAAAACCCCCCTGCTATTGTACATGTACGGATCATGAAGCATGCCGCTATGCATGCCAACTTATTTATAATGGCTAACAGTGTGAAAGGAAATATACAACCAGATTAAAAAATTCTAATGTGATCTCTGACTGATATAATGAATCATTTAAAGTCTCTTTTTAAATTACCACATTTATTTAATGTTACATCATGTAATTTCAAGATAAAACTCTGATATTAAAATATCCAAACTTAATTTCCCTATCTAATACTATCACCTAAGGAGTATATTTCAACAACTGTATAAAGAATCCCCTTGATTTCTTATGCTCTACTTGATTTTAGCCATTTCTTGGGTAAATAATGGAAGCCCAGAAAACATCAAATAGCTTGAAACTAACCCTGTGATTTGATTCTGGAATTGAAATACTGGCAGATGCTTTTTGATTTATGGGCCAAATCCAGCCCAGGACTTGTTTTGTATAGGCTGAATGTTATAAAAAAAAGTTTAAGGGGTGTTAAAAAAAGATATGCAACAGAAACTGCAAAGCCTAAAACACTTACTTTCTGGTCCTTTATAGATAAAGTTTGCCAACCTCTGTTTTAGGGGAAACCTTGGAGAAACTGCCATATTCTGCAAAGCTACAACAGCCCTGCCTGTTTCTGTCTTTTCTAATACTCTCAACAATTAGGTGTAATCTATATCTGCAAAAAGAAAACATATATAAGCAATATCTATGTCATTGATTTTAATCTTGAATCATTTACATTCACTGACAAAAGTAGGATATTTTTACTAAATAGGTAATGATTTTACAAGTCTATTAAAAATTCACATAGGACTCACTGGTAGATTGATAAGGAGTATTAAGATAAAACTAAAGCATCATGCAGCTTGTATGTTTCTTCAAAGAAAACTAACTTAAAACCAGTTGCCTTTTAAAATAGCAATAGACTCACTTAGAGAAAGCAGGCAGACAGTTCTGGTGGGGGTTAGAGAGATTGAGCAAAAAAGGGGGAAAAAAGAGAACTCATGTTTATGGACAACAGAGTCATGGCTGGGTGGGGGAGGGAGAGCGGTGGAGGGTAAGAAGGCATAGAGGGGATAAATGGTGATGGGAAGAGAAAATAAAATAAAGTACAAATAAATAAATAAGAGCAATTGCTTTTTAGAGTTAACATAGTCTCCAAAACAGATGGTGGGGGGAAAAAAAAGAGGATATCACATATCAACACGCATGTTTTTCTTGGCTTCAAACCTATAATAAAAGTAGTGATCGATAACAATGCTTTAAATGACAGCACGTATCTTTGAAAATTACCTGCTCTCCGTCAACTCCTGGGATTCCTGGAGATCCTGGCTCTCCCTGTTAAGATAAAAACTGATGGCTTCCTTCCATTTATCATTAGTAGCGTGCTACGCTATATCAAAATGTTGCTAGTTGGTAACGGTACAATTTGACTTTCAGCAAATGTATCATAACCCAAGAATACTCCATTACATCATACCACATATCTAAACTAAATAAAATAGCATTTTCTTGAATATTCTGTATGACAATACTCATATGTAGCTAAGATCCAGTGTTTTTATTTTTCCCTCATGTGAGATGCAGGCTAAACAAAAATTGATGAAAGGAAACTGATAAAAATCATTTGATGCCTGACCGTATCTTATACTATGAATCTATAGCAACAACCTATATGCCTCGGTTAATTTTTTTTCTCCTAAAAAAATCTGTATGATTTCTCTTATTTTCCAATTTGAGAAATAAATAAAAACAGGACCGTTATCTTAAAAGACAATAAAATGAGAAGCCCCATAAGTTCACAATAGTTTAACTGACACTGGTTGAACCATAAACAAAAATTCATAATGATTGTGAATGTGCTACTTCCAGATAAGTCTCACTGAAAAAAGGTAATAAATCAGATAATAACTTAATCCACATTAAATTACTTTTGGATCAATTCGATTTCCCATACTATGCTAGGAATGCACTACATTTCCTATTTATATTATGATTTATTAGGAACCTTGACAAACCCAAAATATATAGATTTATTTTTTCTTAACTAAAGATGTTCCATTAAAAACAAATTTAAACAACGTGCTAGAGATTTATTCAAACAACAAATGTCCAATCACCTTTCAGTTGGAAAGGTACTGAACAAAGGCAAGATATTATTTTATATCAATGAATCATGTATTTGAATCCCATTATAAATATCCCTTGTTTCCACATTGTGGAAACTTTAAAAACAGCTCTTTTGAGGGTTGAATGGCCTGCCTCAGAGACAGAATTCCAAGGGAGCTGACTTGAGGCTGTATTTTTCTAGAAAGGCTTGTTTGGTGATGTTATAAACCACAGTACTGAAATGGCTAGAGCTCTTTTCCCCGGTAAAAACTTTAACAGCTATTGGCCACAGCATGAAATTTGAGCTTTCCAATGTTTTAGAAGGCACAGCAAACAAATGAAAAAAGAAAAAGACAGAAAAAGGGCTTTTCTTTCCAGATTTCCTGTTCTTTGTGGTAGCAGCAAAGTTTATTTTGCCACAAAGCCTGCTGAGGTTGGATGCAACTGGCTAAGCCCTAGTTTCATTCAGTCTGAATACTTGTCAGCACTCTGGGCCCAATAATGATTGCTTTGCTAAACTTTTACCTTCAAAATGTGACCCATGAGTGTTTAAAAGTAAAACATAATTCATAAGTTATTCATTTATCCTTCACCGATCAAAAGTGGTTTGTAAAGAGTTATATGATGTGTAAGAAGTCCAACAATCCATGTTTGATAAAGGAAGGAGTAATGCTAATTGAAAGAGTTCTCATTCAGTCTGAGGCTGTGAGTCCTGAGTGAGAGTGGGTTTAAGTTTGACTCAGGCTGTATTTGCTGAGTCTTGGTCATAGGCACATCTCACCCCAATTATCTCAACCTTCTCAAGGAGAGATCATGGAACACACAAAGGACTATATCAACTAACCCAAGACCTCAATTACAAGATCCTTGTGAGGTGTGAGGGGTGGGGCAGAGTGACAGCACAGTGGGAAGAATGGCTGGGTAAGAAGGAGTATGACTAACTGCCTCCCCCCTTCCCTTGTCTAGACATTCATTTGGTCAATTTTCCTGTTTCTCAGTTTCAGCTCGAAGTAATCTTGACTCCCAAGGCTGAGACAACCTTCTTAATTTGCATCTTGATCAAAGCACTCACTCTTATTTATAAACTAGTGGCCCGGTGCATGGATTCGTGCACATTGAAAGGGAATTAATTGGAAGGTGGCTGGCAGGGCAGGACTGGGTGAGATGGGCCGAACATGCTCTGGAGCCAACCTCCCATGGTCCCTCCCTGGCCGGCCACACCTGGGGTGGCGCAGCGGCTCAAAGGGCGTCTGCGGATTGAATGGGGTCTCTCCGGCAGGTGGGGTCCCTTGGCCTGGTCTGCGGGGATTGGGCCAAAACTGGCAATCCAACATCTCCCGAGGGGGTCCCAGATTGTGAAAGGGTGCAGGCCAGGCTGAGGGACCCCACTGGTGCACAAATCTATGCACTGGGCCTCTAGTTAAATTAATAGCAATTGGGTTATAAAACCAGGATATGCAAGTTTTAATGATATCACCCTCTCAGTTAGGTGGTCCTTTTTGCCTCTGTGGGCCAAGGGATGGGCACCCTTTGGGCTTTTGCAGGCATTTGGGCTGTAAAGAAAAATGAAGTCCTAGAAGCTGTGGAGGATTGTAGGGAATGAGGTGCATAGTTAGCACCGGGGACAATTTTGTTTCTGGAGACTTAGTCAAGTGAGGAGATGAAACAAGGAACTCAGACCTTGGTTGACTCTACATAGATCTGCATATTTCTTTCTAAGTTGTCTAGTCCAGCTCACAAACATATTAAAGAATATGAATCCAGGCCAACTTGTTCACCAGGAACAAAGGCTATGTATGGCTGTGTTACATCTTTTAGGGACCAGAATGTGGTGGAGAAATAGAAAGTTTAAAAATCCTAAACTGTACACTGTTATACAGGAAATCTGTTTGAAATTAAGATCTATGTTCGAATATATTTCCCATAGCCAAGGACCTCAGTAATATTTTACTTTATATTTCTTTTTATAATAGAAAAATATGCTAGTGTTCTGTGCTCAAGTTTCTTGAAAGAGAAAAGTACAAAAGCTGATGTGTGTGTATGTATGTGGACATGTCTGTGTGTGTATGATAGACTTAGCAAATAAACTGCCTTAAGAGGCATAAACAAAAGATGGATTACTAAACTACCTGAATTGCCCACAAAAATCCAATGATGAAAGTCATATTTCAACACACATAGTTTAGTTCTGAAAAGTCAGAGTAACTGGCCATGTGTTAACTGATTGAAAATGAAACTTTAGTTTGGAGGGAGAAAGCTAATGCAAGCAACAAATTTTAGATATAACCAAGTATGTTTCATTAGATAAGATTTAGATGGCAGAATGTCTGAATATATACAATAACAGGATGCTATAAAAATGACTCAAATGATTTCTAAAATTGTCATTGTGAATGTATCCCTTATTCTTTTTATTATAAAACTAGAGGCCCAGTGCATGAAATTCATGCATGGGGGAGTCCCCTCAGCCCAGCCTGCCCCCTCCCCAATCCTGGACCCCTTGGGGGATATCCGACTGCCGGTTTAGGCCCGATCCCTGGGATCGGGCCTAAACCGGCAGT